AGACTACACTGACCTTTGCTGAGGAGCCTGTTGTGTGGACATACAACTTTAGTGATGAAAGTGATGGTACCCTTCAAATGACAACTAAAAACCCATCTCTTCTGAGAACACCTGATCTAGGACTGTGCGATGAATTCAAATCGTATTAAAGTTGTGATTTGGGCATGCAAGTAAACCAGTCATATATTGCATCTAAAAGCGAATGTAAAGCGTGAGGCACGTCGCTTCCATCAGCATTATTAAAGTGATTTTTTGTTGCTTCTTTGTTGTTGCTCGGTGACCATCAACTGCTTTTTGGATGACAAACTAACAAACCGTTGCTGCAATTCTGACACAAGTATTATTTATGGAGAGAATTAAAAAGTACTTGGTGTTCGACTGTCTTATGTTTGTCTGAGGTAACCGAGATATGAAAACACCATTCAAAGTATAAAGCTGATCGGTCAGTTCTTATTACGTGACTTGCCGAGCAGCTTTCTGAAAAGTTTCATTTAAAGTTTGTCTGAAAAGCAGAGATGTATAAAGTACTAGAGACCCATACTTAAGTAAAAGTACAAGTGCTCTATCAAAAAGTGACTTGAGTAGAAGTAGAAGTGCTCTTTAATCACCATACTTAAGTGGAAGTACTAAAGTATTCAACAATTTTAGTACTTAAGTATTGCAAGTAATTTATTTCAAAATTTACTACTCAAGTACTGAAAGTAAAAGTACAAGTATTGTGTAATGTAGTTATTAAAGAAGGCAGTCAAAAGACATCATATTGTTTTGTTTATTTTAAATATCTTTGGGGCACTTGATTAAGCAGAATGAAAAGAAACATGGCTTATGATACTGTTTTTCTCTGTAAATAATTTCTATGGTACAAGAACTCACATCGTCAGGCTCGTTTACCAGAAAATCACTTCAGTGATGAGATAATTCAGCATGTTCATTCATACTCTCTCTCTCTCTCTTTTACACACACATAAACACACACCTAAATGTACACTCTCACACATTCATACACTCTCACACACAGTTCTCTCTCTCTCTCTCTCTCTCTCTCACACACACACACACACACACACACACACACACACACACACACACACACACACACACACACACACACACACACACACACACATTTTTGTGAATTGTGGGGACATTACATAGGTTACAATTGTTTTTATACTCTACAAACTATACTTTTGAATGCTCTAACCCCAAATCCAATCTCTAAACCCAACCCTTACAGGAAATTATGTGTAGTTTTACTTTCTGAAAATAAAAAAAAATATTTAGTGTGATTGAATTTTATAAATAATGTCCACATAATTCACCATCTCCTCCTAACATCTGTGTAATACCGATGTTGTTATACATATATATGGGCACACACACACACAAACACGAAAATACACTCTTTTACACTCTCATACACTCTCTCTCTCTCTGTCTTACACACACACACACAGACGCACACACAGGTACAATCACACTGTTTCTCTCTTACATGCATTATTCACTCACACTTTGGTAGTTTTGAAGTTTGATTGGTTAATACCAAAATAAACAGGAGTTTTGTCTTTTGGAAGCAGTCGTGAAACTAAACTAAACAAGCAAACTAAATCCTGTTGCACTAATTCACTTGATTTTGATTTTATTGTAAAAAAAGAAAAGAAAAGAAAAACAGGAAAGTGTGTATAGTACTGTGTTAAAAGAAAATCTAAAATACTTTATGGCTTATGGCTATGGTTTAGTATTAATTTTTTAAATTTTGATTATGTTTTAATTAAATTGGTCTGGCACTTCATATGTTCTGTAGTATATTTATTAATTCTGGTACTTTTACCACAAACCAACTTCTTAACCAGTTGGTAGAGGCTGATATTTTAGAAATTATGGGATGTGTTGAGAAAAAAATGCATTGACTGTGTTAAATAGCGACATTATGAGTTAAGAAACGCAATAAAAAAAATCTATTGCTTTTGTCTTGGTGTGACAGTTGTAGGGTTAATTTTAATACAATTTTGTTCTTTAATACAGCAGTCAGATATATGAACCCTACTCTTAATTTGACCTGCTTAAAGAAAGCACTCTTTCTGAATGTATCAAACAAAACTCATGCACAGAAGACAGCACGAGCATTTACAGCTAATAAACTCATGTCAATATTATACCGCCTGCTTTTTGAGCGCTGACAGGCGAGGTCTTATGATGATTGGTTATTATCTTCATCTGCTCAACAGAAAAGGCTTTGGAAATGAAGCGCTGTTCACCCATGGCGGGAAGAATACGCGGTGATCACAGGTAATAGACAAAGTGGAGAAAACTTGAATATCAGGCACGCTCGTGTCTGGATGGATCGACAGCTTTAACAGCTAAGAAAAGAGGGAAAGTTACCTTACAAACAGGCCAGCGGGTCAAATGTCCAAAGTGAGAAAGAGAGAGGCAGAGGTGAAGTTTTACAACATTTCTCCCTAATAGTAAATTAGCGGCTCGTGTGCCGCCTTCACTCGCGCCTCCGTCCTCCGCCATAGTATTGCGACATCGCGCATAGGAGATAAATGACGTCATCACGTAATCACCGGTTATGACCTATTACTGAACTGATATCGATCATTTTGACACCCCTAGTAACGAGTAACGATGCAGCACATAAAAAATCTATCGGAGTAAAAGTATTAAACTCATGGAAAATATGTACTTAAGTAAAAGTGGAAGTAGGAGAAAAAAATAATACTCCAGTAAAGTACAGATACTGCCTTTTAGTACTTAAGTACAGTAGTGAAGTAGTTCTACTTCGTTACTATACATCCCTGCTGAAAAGAGATGTTTTCAGCTGGGTGCACCTGGAATACGCGCATCACTCTTAATATGTACACACAATCTTTGGCAGCATCATAAAGAGGTTCATGATCTATGCATGGCGAAACAAATCTGTGGACACACACACACACACACACAAACACACACAACTACTAATTATATTTGGTCAAGCAAAACATTGGAGCCTTGCTTGAGTTTGACGATGCGCACATGCACACACACTTGTTCCAGAGACAATTTGTTACAGCTTTACTATGTGATTTTTATATTTTATGTCTGTTTTAGAGACATATTACAGGTCTTCGATAAAGATCTAATTGTTTACCTTTGGAAATATGTTTCAGATTCGCACTGTAAACACAGATTCAGTCTGTCTGTATGTGTTCAAGAAAACTGTGATAGGTTTCTTTTGCCCATATCACACAGCCCTAACATGAACCATGGTAAACAAAAACCAAACCAACTGTAGACTGCACTTTCTCTCTCTCTCTTAAGACGACCTACTCTAGCACTAAATTCTCTGAGCACAAACAAGTTACTTTGTATAATTAGCACTTCCTGTGTGTATTGCCTCCTCCTAGTTGAATTTATGAATATCTCCTTAATTGGACAAAGCCATCTGCTAAATTAGTCGTTCTTAAAGTGGGGGTCGGGACCCCCCCCGAGGGGTCGTGGGAAAATGAAGGTGGGGGGGTTTGCCAAAAATCTATTTATTTTTATTAAACCATAAGAATTACCATATTTTATCCATAACCTACTGAAGAGAGAAAATAGTTGTTTATAGTTACTATAGTACAGTAGCTTATAGTTACTAGGTCTATTGAATTGCAATCCCTGGGTTAATTACATTATACTAAAGACACAGCAATAGCGTCAGATGCAGCAGATTGGTATTATAACACCAGGTTAAACTTTCTGGCACATTTACAGCACAGACATACATTAAAAAAAATTCTACGAAGAATAGACTTGGGTCTACTGGTGTGTGTGCGCCATTGCATGCAAGGTTTCTGTATTTATAACCACCTCAGAAGATGTTGGGGGTCGCGAGTCACATGCATTGTTATTTTGGGGGTTGCGGGCTGAAAAGTTTGGGAACCCCTGTGCTAAATGACAAAATGTAAATGTAAAGCAAGTTTAATATGTTTGTTTTTGATGGGAAAACTTATGTTCTTTGTCAAACTGGTTAAAGACTGCACCTAAAGATTGTAAAGAGGTCAGTAAAGGATGTATCAAATGCTTTTGCAGCTAAACCACAGCAACATTTCAGGCCTAAACCTAGTTATATAAATAATCACGTCAATATTTTATTCAAAAGATGTCCAGCTGCCAGATCTTGTATGATACTCATAACTCCAAACCATGCAAAATATTCAAATTTCAAACCATTTCTGATCTCAACCTGGCAACCTTCAACCCAGTTGCACTGATGAATTCTACAGTACACAGGTAGTAGGAAGTAGGAAGTCAAAACTAGCATCAGAAATTCTGCTAGAAATGAAGAAGAGTCGGGTGGTGCTCTGATTGTGTGGAGTCATTTGTTCTACAGTGTTTAGTTGCAGTGCAGTATTAAAAAATGGATTGCGATAGTAATAATAATAATAAAAAAACCAAGAGTAAGTCACATTACAATTGTTTTTCATTTTATTACAAACTATTTATTATCAGTGTATCTATTTATATGGGATAATATAGTTGGTGAAAATTATATATTTATGGCATTTGGTGGGGTATTTATCATTTAAAACAGTGATTTCCATTAGTCAACAGGACACAAAACTGGGACTGTCCCCAAAAAACAGGAATTTTTGGTTTCTCTAACCATTAACCAAAGCATGTTGGCATTTTTAGCATTGCTTAGCATCCTGTTGCACGAAGTTACTTTCCTTTAATATGATCTGATGACTATCCAATTAGACAAAATTCTTTCAGTTTCTTTTGCTTGAGATGTGATATAACTATTTAAAAGCATGGTAACAATTCGTCTGAATTCTTTACAGCAATTACTTTTCTTAAACTCTTGCTAACTGTAAACAGCCAGCCGCTGCCCCACCTACATCTGTAATCCATCCACAGAAAGACAACTTTACATCATGAAATATGAGCCTCACAGTTCCTCTTTAAAGTTTCCGTCCTGTTAGCGGTTATTTACAGGTTTCCTGTTAATGTACACAAACTGAGTCCCTTACTTCTGCTGCATGTCCAGCAGGCTCTGCTCGGCTCTCTGAAGGCCGTCCAGGTCCTTGATCATCTTGCCCATGTGGTCCCTATAATTCCGGTTCTGGATGTAGGCGAACCAGCAGCCTCCAACGCCAATGATGATGGACACCACCAGCATCAAGTCCTTCAGGTGACTGTGTCTGCTCACTGCCAAAACAAACACCATAAGCAAATATTAATAAAAGAGATGCACACTACAAAAGATTACAAAAAAATGCAATCCAAAGATTACAATTCACTTCGATAACCTTCGATATAACTCTAGTATTTAATATATATTACACCACCTGTGAATTAAGCATGTATGTTCAAAATGAAGGAACTTTTAATCAGAGTATATGCAGGAATCCTAAAGGAAATTTCAATACATTTTTAAGACTTTTTAAAGACCTTCTCAGAATATTTTAAGACCTCATCACCACTTCAAGTTCTAATCAGTATCAAACCTTTAACTTAATAAACAGTTGCTAATAAACAGTTGTAGTTAAATAAATCAATGGAGCACAACCATGCAACAGAACACAGATAGAAAGAAACAAAGCTTGAAAGAATAAATTACGCGGTTATTTTCAGCAACAGGCTTCAGCCACTCTTTAAACTCGTCTTTCTCCAACCAGGAGCACGCGAAATTACATTTTCCCATTTTGCCGTCTGTTTCGCTCTATGGTTTTGCTACATGTGGAAAGCATCACATCACCTTTCCAGGTTTGTCGCAAATTATGTGACATCACTAACCGGAGGAGCTTGGCCGGACGCACTCCAGCCCGAACCAATCGTGTGACTTTAATACCTTTTAAGGGCCTTACTTTTCTCATAATTGATTTATCAACTTTAAAATTCTTTTTAAGACCCCGCAGACATCCTGTTAATGCTTCTTCAAGAAGTTTTTTTTTGCTTTTTTTTTATATTTACAATTTTCACAGTAATATTCAACACACATTTCTCATCAAGGATGCATTTAATTATTTAAAAATACAGTAATATTGTGAAACACTGCTAACCACATTAAAACCACAGCTTTCGATTTGAATTCTGTCCTATTTTAATTAATTTTTAAATCTAATTTATGTATTAATTTAGTCAAATGTGATTTATTAGTTTAGTAATTATTTATTAATTCATTCCTCTGATCTAAATCTGAAATGTCAATAGTATTACTTTAGCGTTTAGTGTCGTATGATCCTTCAGAAATCATTTTAATATACCAATTTGCCTAAGAAGTTTTCATTCATTCATTTTCTTTTCAGCTTAGTCCCTTTATTAATTTGGGGTTGCCACAGCGGAATGAACAGCCAACTTATCCTGCATCTGCAATCCATCACTGTGAAACATCCATATACTCTCATCCACACACATACACTACGGACAAAGTTGGCCCATGGTAACCTTTGATTTGGCCATCCCATGCAAGAAGAGAAGAGTGATGGGATGGTTTAGATATTGTCCTTTCAAACCTTTTGCAAACTTATTACTCCAGGGAACATTTCCTTTGTTTGTTTTATTGGTCTATTGTTATTGTTTTATTATTAAGCTAACTGAAATTAGAAGTTTCAATTAAATAATGTAAATGAATCAGGTTTAGTTTAAATGTACATACAGTCATGGATGGATAGAAGACAAATCAAAGCAGAGGCAGATTCTGCGTGACTAGTGTATTTAGCATTGAACTCCACTGTGTTATAAGTGTGATTGAGTGTTTTTATTGTAATAAGTTATCATTTAAATTTAATAGGATAGAAATAGTTGTTTTCTCAGAGATGGGTTGCGGCTGGAACGGCATCCACTGCATAAAAACTTGCTGGATAAGTTGGCGGTTCATTCCACTGTGGCGACCCCGGATTAATAAAGGGACTAAGCCGACAAGAAAATGAATGAATGAATGAAAAATAGTTGTATAATTTATTATATATATATATATATATTTAATATTATATTTTTATTTTGACCTCGAAGCAACACAGAGCAATACAAAAAGCAACAACATCCGTTCCTCCAGTGTAATACATGGGTTAACAATGTTACACATATATATCTAGGCCAGTGGGTACAGGGCAATATGGGCATTGATCTTGCGGACAATGATAGGGTTATAGCTTTACACTGCTATCCTTGGCATTTGATAGATAGTTAAAAAGGGTTTCCAGGTGGCTCCGAAGCCAGCAACGGTATCAGATAGATTGTATTTAAGTTTCTCTAAATGTAAAGTGCTAGAAAATTCTAAAAGCCAGGATTTAAAAAGTGTTTTTGATGCCTTTTTCCATAGACAAAGAATAATTTTTTTAGCTATCACCATTTCATATTGGACAGCTTTTGCAAAATCAGGGGAGAGTTCACAAAAATAAGCCTTGTAAGTTTTGGGCACGACCAAATAATTTATTATAATTTATTTTTAGCTATAATTTAGTTAATAGGATTTAAAAAAATGTTTTCCAATAAATTAGAAAATGAGCCATGGCACATGGCATGTTTTATAGTTTGGTATTTACCTTCAGCTTGCGGCTCTTGGCGATATTTGATTTTTGGCCTTTTATACGAAAAAGTTTGGACACCCCTGGTATAGATGGTTCTGTCTTAAACAGTAGTCTATCACATACTCCAAATACAGTGATGTCATATGAGAATTATGACTCTTTCAAGACACACATTCCACAGCTGACCCATGGTGACCGACATAGCAAGAGCAAATTAATGTTTTCTTTGCAGTGCTTATGTCTGCAGTCTTCTCTTTGGAGTGTTGTTTTTTTGTACAAAAAGAAAACTGTATCACAAAAAACTAAGTTTTTCGACACCATTTAATATTTTACTGATGAGTCAAGGGTGCTTTTATCATGTTAAACAAAAGTCTGAACACACCTTGTGATTAAATATATTCTTTTAAAGTGATAGTTCACCCCAAAATTAAAACATGCTCATCTTTTATTCACCCTATCGGGCTTCTTTTTTCCTACTGAACATGAAAGAACATATGATGTAACCTGGTAGCAAGGTTATTATAGTTAAAGAAAACAAACAAAACTAGAATAAAAAAAACATTTTCGTTAACTGAAATAAAAACAAGTTTTGTTTTTTTTAAACTAGAACTGACTGAAACTTTATTGTGTACATGCAAAACTAACTGGATTAACTAATATTATAGCAAGACATCCTTCCTTTTCGTCTTTGTAAATGTATTTAATACATACTTTAAGCCTTTTAGAAGAAAATCTACTATTTACTTTGCGCTGCCAAGTATTTGACAGTACGGCACCTCAAGAGTCTGTAATCTGATGCCATTGGCCAGATCGAGCCAGTTCCTCTCTAGTCATCCTTGCTGTTGCTCCCGCGACAAAACAATGGTTGGACATGACAGCACCACGTTGACAATATTAAATATGACCCAAGAAGTCACTTAAAGGTATTAATCAAACATATTTGTGGCAAATAATAATATTTATTTTTGTATTAGTGATCGTGAATCATTCATTTTAACTGGATGTTTACAGTGAAACGGTTGAATTATTATCATAAATAATAAATCTGGCCAACCCACGCAGGCCATCCCAACCCATATTGAGGGATTTAAAAAAAAAACAATGGTCCCAATGTATTTCCTGTTTTACATTTATATTTTTTATCGCTTCCGAGAATCCAAAAAGAGCCATATATTCATAAATAATGTTATGATAGCTGTTTTAACATTAAGTTATGATTAAATTGCCTTTGGTTATAGATGAAACTATGAAATAGTTTGATAACAAGCAGTTACAGAAAAGTTTATGGGCCAATGACCTCACCACACTGAAATGGTCTATACCAGTGGTTCTCAAACTTTTTTCACTAAGTACCACCTCAGAAAAAATTGTCTCTCTAAGTACCACCATAATGACTGGTATTGAAATACAGAGTATGCCTAAATAAGCGGCTACAGCTCTGCACAGTTCACAAACGTGGCAGATAAAATCTTATTATTTCGAAAATGTATTATTGTCAGCAACTTCAAACCAAATAAATAGTTTGAACATTATCACACTTACAGGTACACAATTAAGATAAATAAAACGTCAACGTTTAAATTAAAATGTGATTTAAAAAATGTATTACAAATGGCACTGTTCTCAAACGTTAAAACAAAACTGCTGTCATTAAATGTGAAGTATTATCATGAAAAATAATACTGGGCAGCCCAGGTGGGCCCCAAGCTGGCCATCCCAGGTCTGCCCCACGCGGGCCAGCCTGGGTGGGCCCCACGCAGGCCATCCAGGGCCTTGCCAGTGTGGGGCCCACCTGGGATGGCCCGAGTGGGGCCCACATGGGCTTGCTATCCTGCTGGAAGAAACTATCAGAGGATGGGTACACTGTAGTCACTGTGGCAATCCCAGGTTGGTCCCACATGGGCCATTCCAGATTGGTTCCACATGGGCCATCCCAGGTGGGTCCAACATGGGCCATCCCATCTTGGTGAATTCAGGGCACGTGCCCCAGTAAAAATTGCCAGGGCCCCAGTAAATGCTTTGAGGTACGATTTACTTTATATGTATTTATTACGAGTGGTAAAGATGGTATTCTCTCTCTTAATTCTCTGCTGCTCTGCTCCTGGTGTAAGTCAGCCACTTTAAACATAATAAATAGTTTGAACAATAACACACTGAAACAGTGGCGGCTGGTGCTAAAAAAATGTGGGGGGGCGCAAACACCAGAACTGACCTAACGGTTGGTAATGCAACAGTGTAAAAGCCATTTATCAGGTGATGTATGAAAAAACAAAAATATGACTAAAGCATACAACAAATGCTTCATAAATCAGAAAATTTTAGTTCAATTTAGGTTTATTATGAGTAATGAAGTAATCGATAAACACACGCACAGACACACATAGATGTTGCCTAATCACTGGCCAGTAGCACTACTTGAAAATAAATTTTGCTCTCCTTTCTTTCTGGCTTGCAAATTTCTCAATGACCTTTTGGTTGAAGTCAGTCATCTCAGTCACTAGTCTCTTCTCTATTGACAGCATGGCCAATGCATTCAGCCTCTCTAGGGTCATGCTGTTTCTCAGAAAAGTTTTTATTCTTTTCAAAGTTGAGAAGCACCTCTCAGCTTCTGCTGTGGTCATAGGCGTAGTTACCAGAATCTTTAGGAGAGTTACAGTCTCTGAAAAGACTTCCTCAAGATTGTTCTCCATAAACAGCTGGAGTAGGTCCAAAGCACCACAACAGGCTCTGAACTCATCCTTGGAGTAGATGAGACTGAGCTCTGTCTTTAGCTTACTTCCATCGAGCACAGGATAGGCTTTCAGAGTCCTGCTAAGTGCATCTTCTGGAAAAGCTACTGTATACTGCTCAAACCTGTCTGCCTGCAGCAATGTGGCACTAACGAGGTGGTCTGTGAAGGAGAACCGCTCCAGTGTGTGTGTGAGTATGGTATCACAGACCTAAAGGATAAAGACAAAAATGATGTAATTATGTGTCAATTTCAACTGCTACATTAAAATAGCCAGGTTGAGTTATAAAGGCAGACCAGTTGTAGTGGTTAAATTCATACTTTCTAAAAACCTCATAAACACATTCATTCTTAGTAAACATGTCAAGCTCCACTAGAAGAAACTGAAGAATAACAAATCATTTTAGATAATAGTTTAAAGAGTATATACGTTTAAGAAGATCACCTAGTCATAAAAATGCATTTACATTTATCATAGTTTTATACAGCCCACTATTCCCAGCTTATAAATCAACAACACTTAGATTCAAAATTCTTATCAAATATTTTTATTTAATGCTTCTATAATGAGACACTTAAAGACTCCTATTTGAAAAAGACCTGGTCATTGTATCATATAAACAAGCCAGTGTGCTTGCAACAAATTAAACTGTATTGTTTCATTTACTATCTCTGGATAAATGTTTTGGTGACTACAATATTATTACTCCTCAAATTATTATTGAGCAGTTCCAGCATTATGGATGTGGCATTTGCAGTAAAAACTCAAAACATAAATTCACAGAGAAAGTATGTTAACATTTTATTGAAATATCTGTTTATATTTTCCAAAACTACTGACCACGTAGCTATAAGATCAGCTTAATATCAATCTGTAAACATGTTTTGTACTTTAAATGAGGAAAATAAACAAAGGAATTATGGATGTAACTAAAAAAAGTCTGTGAGTTTGCAGTATACAACAGGCCTAGTAGAAATTCTGTCTGTTAAACTGCAAAACCCCCCAAAATAATGCTAGGCAGGAGGTTAAGAGTTTTTTTTTCTTCTATAAAACAAACATGATTGATTTTATTTGATAATTTTTCATTTATGAGGAAAAAGCTTAGTTATGGATTTGACATCTCTGTATTATGGGTGTGACGGATGTGAAATTGCCTTTCATGTGACTTAGGTAAATAAATAAAAAATTTTTAAAACATTGACAGAGACATTTGAGTATGTCTAAAGTACTGTAAATTACTTGCTTACACACACACACACACACACAAAAAAACACAGAAACAGTTTCGGTATTTTGTTGAGAACTTAATTTTTTTCATGAAAAGGTTAACATTTGCAGGGAATTGCTCTATTATTATTTTTATCTTAAAATCAATGAAAGGGATATTTACAAGTTCCCATAGAAGGTAATTAAACAATACAGTTTAGCTTGTTTGTAATGACTTATTTTGATTAAAATAAAAACTCACTTCTGCTGCTATCTGTTCATGAACCTCTGGACTGAGGGACCGCCGCCTCTTCTGTTGAAAACCACCTTCACTGCATTGGTCAACCAGGGAATGGAGAGAATTTCTGTAAAGGAATAAGAAAGTGTATGAATAATAATAATAATATTAGTAATAATCATAATAAATCCAAAACAAAAAAACAGCAACTACCTGATCTTCTGTATGTCCTGCTGGAATTGCTGGATGCTCCCCCTGATGTGTACTGAATCGATGTCCTTCACGGCAAACAGCAAACACGGGAAACAGTAAAAGGCATGACTTACATCACAACCTGCCAGCCAGCTCCGTTTGTCATAACAAGTGCTGGAAAAGCCCCGAGTGTACGCGCGCCCACGATCACTTGACTGCTGTTGAATTTGCAAGGAAGGTCGATCTGGTCCAAGCTCCTTGATTCTTTTTTTTTTCATCCAAACGCCTTGTGAATGGATATCTTTGCAAAGATACAACGGAATTTTCCTTCATTTCGAGAAATTGCACATGCTTCCACTATGATTGATAGTCGTCAGTAAACTGAGGAGCTGCTTGCTAAGTGAAAGGTCCAAGTGGGAATGGTCCAATCACATAAGGCCAACCATATAAAAACAAATATGATTCGTTCTGACAACATAAATGGGCGGGTTCGGGGCGCAGAGTGCTGCGCCCCAAGGACAATTTAAAACGGGCCAATTAGAGCTTTTTGTCATATCACATGTATTGCAAAAGTTCGTGTATCTACATAGACACTCATTAGTCCGGCGCCCCGAACACATATGAAAAAATATTGTTCATACATTTTTTTTATTTTCAATAAATGTTAGTATGACTAACTGTAGAGTGTTATCATTAAATCAATTTATTTTGTTAATATTTGTGATAATAAATATTAACATATTAAAGTAGGCTAACTTGAAGGGGGGGCGGCGCCCCAGCGCCCCCTATTGACCAGCCGCCACTGCACTGAAAGGTAAAAAATGAAGATAAATTAAACGTCAAAGTTTAAATTAAAATGTGATTTTAAAAGTTAATTAAAATGGCACTGTTCTTACAAAGTAAAAGAAAACGTTTGCTGTACTTAAATATAAAGTATTATCATAAAGTAGCCTATTCATCAAAACCTGCAAATGTGTCTTGGACCTCATAAATATAGGTTATATACATTTTTGATCAATTTTGAAATATATGTTGCATGTACTGTATGTATGACTGATTTGTATATCTTTGAAATGTAAATGTTAACTTGTATTTTAAATATATGAATTGGATTAAGAAATTAAAATAGAAACTAGATCTGCTTACTGCCCGTTAGAGTAGGCTATGTGTGTCAGAGAAGCAAGTGATTAAACTACACCTGTCAACATTGGGGGGAAAAAAAAGAGATATGCCCCAATAACCGTTTTAAGTATGGGGAGAAAAATAACCTCAAATAATAGAATACATAACAAACATTAGAAAAATGAAAATAAAATAAAAAGTTTAGCCTATTAAAATCAAAAGTGTGTTATTTGTTTTTACTAGAATTATTTAGAGAAACATCAACCAGCAAGTGTGTATCAGGAAAATGACTGACTATGATTGGATGACTGTCTAGGTAGGACATACATGTTACAGTTAAGTATTTCAGCTACAAAATACTGTTAAATCACAGTAACCATATTGCAATTAATTGTAACTTCACAGCAAAATATAGTTAATCCTACGAGAGAATACGGTGAAATCACAGAACTGGGCCTTACTATCTACCTTGAAGTCACATATCATATCATGTATCAATAAAGCTCATGTAAACATTTCTGTCATTCTGTTTTTTAAGGTGAGCGCTGAATTTGAGAAAAGCCACTGTGCAGTCTGGATTTTTACAGCTGCTGAGGAGCTCTTGGAGTAAGACAGAGATCTGAAACTAAAGGTAGAGTTTTTGAGGTTTGTCATGTTTACAGTTTCTGACTGTATGTCATAACATAACAGATTGTTGACATATTTTCTCTTTTATAAAAATTTTTTTCTTACTGTTTCTCAATGGAGTTTGACAATGAAGAACCGACAGGAACTGAACGGCTTGTGATGCCAGTAATGTTGACCTGAACAGGGGCCTTCTACAAGTGACTGCCTAAAGACACTGCCATCATCATCATCATCATCATCATCGAAGGTGTTAAAGTTCTTATAGACCTTATCTTTACCAGACTCAGGCAAACTCTGCTTTCACTCTGCCCAAAGCCCCAGCTGGACTGTTTTGGCCCAAGGTATCTGATCAGGGCCAGAAAGTGACAGTGGAAACTTGACTGGCCCTGGCTCGCATTGGCACACTAACTTAAGGTGCGAGAGTGAAAACACGGCTCTTGACTACATCCCCAGAGCTAGTGTTCACCTGGGTTTGACATATGCATTTTAACTGTGACAAAAAATGGTGTTTTAAAAGTGACTGTCTAGTGAACACTGGAAGATATTAGAGGGTAGTATACCCGCACTGCTAAACAGGCTCCACTAATTTGAACAGGCTCCACTAATTTGAGCTAAATTTAATTAAATTTTACTAAATCCATACTTGTTGATTTGAATTAATAATATTGCTTGTAATCTGTTGCCTCAATTTTATTGTGTAGATATAAAGTATTATTTTCTAGAGCGGATGAACAGGCTCCACACATTTCATGTTAAATCTAAATAAAAACATTGAGTAGTTTTCATTAACATTGTCGTTTTTTCTGTTCAATTAAATTTACATTTTTGTTTAAAATTTGCTAATTTAATTTAAATTAACTTTTAGTAGTTACTCAATTTAAATGACTAATTTTAAATAAGCTAACTTGATTAATTGTTACTAAATCCATATATGTTAAATCTAATTATTGATATTGCTTGTAATCTGTTACTTCAAATTTATTGAGTAGATGGAGTATTATTTTTTACAGTGAAGGGCTGTCACCTTACAGCAAGAAGGTCGCTGATTGGAGCCTCAGATGGGTCAATTGGCATTTCCTTGTGGAGTTTGCATTTGTTTACGCGGGTTTCCTTCGGGTGCTTCGCTTTCCAGTCCAAAGACATGGTATACAGTAGATGAATTGGGTAGGCTAAATTGTCTGTAGTGTATGAGTGTGAGTGAATGTTTCCCAGAGATGGGTTACAGCTGGAGGGGCATCTGCTGCATAAAACATATGCTGGATAAGTTGGCGGTTCATTCCGCTGCGGTGACCCCAGATTAGAGGGACTAAGTTGAAAAGAAAATGGATGAATGTATGAAGTGAATCATGCTTGAGTTGGGTTGCAAACGTATAGGAAGCTTTTCAGATCATGGTGATCCTTTAACAGACTAAAATTGCTGACTTTATGTTTTGATATGTTGAGTCCAAACTTGCGAAGGTCAAGTCACAAAAGATACGGTTCTCATTAAAGATCTCTGGGACCGTATGTATAAAGCTGCTCGGTGTAGAATTTTACTCTTAAGTGTGTCAAAATTCTAAGAATGACTTCGTTTTACTTTTATTTCTAGACTTAAGATTAAGTGTGATTTATAAAGGTTCTTAAGTGTTAGGACTTACTAGGAAACTAGGAGTGTTTGGGATGTATATTAACCTAGTTAGGAGTAATAAGATGGCAGCAGAGAGGAGACCACACACCTTTCAAGAACAAAATGTGTTACAATTATATGATTACAGGCAGTTGCTAAAACTTTTGATCATGAAGGTATTCTTTTTGTAACTAATATAGTAAGAAATGCAATAACTTCTCACACTCTACGAAACATAGCCTTAACTGCAGAAATGAAGGTAATAATGACTGGGTTTTTTGGCGACTGGAAAGATGCAGCAGTGCACCAGTGATGACTTTGGCACATCACAATCCACAGGCAGTTCATTGACCTTCCAAGGATCTCCAAACTATACAGCAAAAGCAAGCAGCTTTTATAGGGATTGCTGGCTTCCCTGGAGCCATCCCTTATCTTGTTGGAGTCATTGATGGCACTCATATTTACAGCATTGCTCTGGCTGTAAATAGGGAGGCATATGTCAATAGAAAAGGTTTTCTTTTTGAATCCATTTTTTTAAGGGTTTTACACTTTGGTCTTTCTTTTATATAAAGCTAAGAGTGCAATTTACAATTATGTGATTTATCAGTTTAATGACTTTAACATCACATTTGTCCATGCAATCAATCAATTTGTGCAAGGTTGTGTAAAATGCATGAACTTATTTGTGTTTTTTTTACATATTGCAAAACTACTTAATGTTATTTTAAATCATTGAATAATTTTATTGCATTAATTTATCAGTAAATGGTGTCGTGCTGCTGTGACTTGACCCTTGCAGACTCCTGATAGGCTGATTCAGAGGTCAAGAGCAGCCATTTTGTGTTTCAATCAGTGTAGTTCTTAATTTGCAACACTTAAGTCAGAACTTAAGAATCAGTCTCAAACTTTACTGAAAGTGGCTTTTAGATTCTTTATTAATCTCTCCTACTCCTAAAAAAGGCCTACTTCTTACTAAGATTTTTTTCACCCTTAAGTCAAAGTTTAAGACTACTCTTAAGAGCATTTATTTTAGAAGTTTTATACATATGGCACCTGAACTTTCCATCACTACTGTGTATCTAACCTCAGAAGCAGCCTTGCACACATATTTCACTTAAGGCTGCTATCTTGTGGGAAGTTGTATTTGAATTTGAAAATGAGTAGATGGTAGTGATGTTGTGTCAAAAATGAAGTCTATCTTTGGTTTTATTATACAATATTTATTCTGATGATTTTGAATCTTGCATCTAACAAATATCATTATTTAGAAAAAAAAAAAACTAAAAAATAACATTAAAACTAATAAAAACTAAACTTAAACTAAGCATTTTTCCAAATATAGAAACTAATAAAAACTAGTAAATCTATCTCTAAAAAACTAATTTGAAAACAAAAATATCAAAATAAAATAAAAACTAAAACTAACGAAAAATTGCCTGGTAGCTGTTGACTTGCATTATCAGCAATTAAACAAATAAGTAAACAAATAAAACAATACTATGGAAATCAATGGCTACCAGTTCATCCTTCAAAATATTTTGCTTTGTGTTCAAGAGAACATCAAATTAATTTTGAACAACCCAGTAGTGAGTAAATAATAACAGATTAAAATTTAGTTGCGAACTAACTCTTTAAACCTGCACATATATTATCGGGACGTGAACTGAGTAGACTTCACAAGAACAAAATCACAACGGGACTAAGCAGAGAACTGAAAATGCGCCAAGGATTTTTTGGGGGCAGGAGTCATGCACCAAATCAGGATCTGCTCTGTCTGTTTGTCCTCCTGCCTCTACAATTCAGACTGTAAAATAAAACACACACAGACTGCTTTTAGAAAGAAGCAGTACAGTAATGCAAACAAGTAGTAATCTACTGAAAACAAGTCCCAGATGTGGTGAAAAGCTCCATGCAGGATGTATGAATATACACAAGTTCTCTATCACATCTGTCTCAGGGCTTGTTCACACCAATGATCACCACAAACAAAGCCTGGAATGCATTCAGGGCAGAACATTGTTAGCAAACATCCTAATGCAGTCCACACTGCTGGAATTTAAGATGAATACAGTGTGTAAAATGGTTGCACACCCCAGGCAAGGGCGTAAATTTCATTTCAAGAGTTCACATTTAGCTGATGACAAATTATAAGCTACTTTGGCATGCTGTTCCGGGAGAGTGCCCTGAACTCATAAGATCCTCGAGCCTGGGGCTCCCTCCTGTTTGCAAGGCGAGAGGCAGATCTCGAGAACTCCCCTGCTGTAGTAGCTAATAGAACAGATAGGGATTGCTCTTAATAGATAACTACTTACTAGGAGCATGCCTATAGTGCCGATTTGGATTAGTTATTAGTCAATTAACTTAAGTTGTATGTTTTTGGACGGTGGGAGAAAACCGGGGAACCCAGAGGAAACCCACGTGAGCACTGGGAGAAAGTGCAAACTCC